AGATATTGTAAGTTATCAGTTAGTTTATGAAACTCTAAAATCATCATTGCTTTTCGAGACCTAATCAATCATTATGTATTTCTGCTTCAACCGAATGCTCATTTGAAATTAAAATTACTAGCATAAATATTGATCAAATCTTTAATTCATCAATCATCAACACTCTTTCTACCCAAGTGAAATTAAACTGGTCTTCTAGTATAAATGTAATAAATTGCTACATGTGGGGCGCATCGATGAAACGATGTATTAGTATTAGACGTACTATCGGGGACTCGAACGCCTTGACACCTTAAGGGCCTAAATTGTTTGCACACACACGCTCGATTATGCTACGCCCCCTTCATTCATGTTTCGCGTCTAAGCAGCGTCGGCGCACCACTGTAGATGTTTACCCTTGCAAACCAAGCTCTATGTAAAGCGTTTAGGATTGAGTATTGCTTATTACCCGCATCCGTAGCGCTCGTTTGGCAACGTCGCATTTTAGTCAATTTGAAACCCAATAAAGAATCGCTACAAAATATTATAAGGGGCTTCGTGTAAAATTTGAACTAGCGATTGCCCGCTCGGGTCACAAAATTGGTATCGCACATTCCGAGGTAACTGTGCAATTTCCTGAGAAAAAAGTAGCCCTTTCTATAATTATTGTTGATATTAAGATTAAGAGTGTAAATCTCGTGATATTAGTTTAGCTAGTTAAGGCGAGAAATACAAAATCATATAGTTAGTTACTTACTTTCGAATTTTACTTATTTAATAGGTATTTAATTTATTCGGAACTTATAATTTATAAACAATATTATGTTATTGAATTAATTAGTAAAGAGTTAAGGAATATTTGTGGCTTAAAAAGAATTATTGTAAGATAACTTCATAATAACTTTCTTAAATCCTTGAATGTAAATAAAAAAACCTATAATAGGTTTCTATTTATTTTTAATACATTAGCAACTTTTGTTTTCCGTTTTAAAGAAACACTTATCTAACTACGTTATTACAATTTAATACAAATATTGCACTAGGTAGCAATGATCCAGGTAATTGGTTATCGTAAATATTATAATATTAAGTTAGTTTTATTTCAAATACATTTTTTTATTGCACATTAAGTGTCTTTACACAAGGTCTTAAATCAATAACAATTAAACTTCAAACTAAATAATACTTAAACAGTTAACAATGTTTATTGTAGACAAGTTTGTAAGTAAATATAAGAATTAAGAATTATTTTGAGAGGCATGGTTCAGTAATCGCGCGGAGTTCAATAAAAAGGCAATCAAACAGTCCAATTAATAGCACGGGTCAACACAAAACAAAATCAATCGGTTACTGATCACAAAACTTCACAAAAAAACAAAGGCGAGAATATGTCAACTAAATAAGACGCAATATAAAAATTTCATCCGTTAAAAGCCCTCAAGTTATTTCTGAACTTTAGTTTAGTAAAAGATTCAGAATCTCAAATCGCTTATTTTAAAAATAAAACCATAATTAGAAAACGAATAGAGGTAACTTTGGGAATTTATTCTATCGAGTCAACTTCATCAAATCGTGTTTCCATCCGTTAATAGCCCTAGAAAATATCCTCAACTATGCCCAAAAAAAATCTTAGCCTTTTATTTTACTATTTAGTACCTCAAAAATGAAAAATGAAAACCTCATTTTCGCCATTTTCTCTGTTACCCGGCCTTAACTAAGTTTTGTAATGTATTTACTGAGAGTTAGTAACAATATGTATAGGTACATGTTCTGTTTGCTAAAATAACTCAATTTATTGACTACACAATGATAAATTACCACTTAAAATTACGTAAAATTATAACGAGAAATTCTTGCCGTATGTACGATGTCTCTAGAAAACACCTATGTAATATTTACAGAAAGCATGATGGCGATTTCGTAAAACAAATATTGTACTGTGTACTGTGTAATAAAACATTTTAATTGTTTTTGAACTGTTACCTACTTGTTGCGGTTACAGCACGAATATTAAAAGTGCTACCTAAGGAAAAAATAAAAAACATGCGTATTTTGTTTACCTAATTTGAAATACATAACTTAGGTAACCGGTTCGTACCGCTCTGCGATTATTTTTAATTTGTAAATAAAAACATTCTAGTGCTTATTATGAGTCTTTGTGAAAACAGTATGTACCTAGCTGCCATCTGGTATATTGGCTAAGACTAGCAGCAGACCACAGACTTTTTGTCGGCCGATAGTTGGGTCGGGCTCGGGCTGTTGATCAGTATGGAGATGTATGAAGTGCGCACTTTACATCGGCCGATTCTTCATACAAATTAAAGCCGATAGTGGTCGAGCTGTTAATCAGTGTGGAGATGTATGAATGTGCGCACATTACATCGGCCGATTCTTCATTCAAATTAATATCGGGCCACACTATCGGCCGACTAGAAGTCTGTAGCCTGCGCTTAGGGTAAATGAAAACATTATATACTTACGAGCAAAAGTATGGAATCACACCGTTGTTTGGTTTTCATCTATGTAGGTTTAAATCTATGTATATTATGGTCCAGGCTGGTAAATATTATAAATGCAAAAGTAACTGTCTGTCTTCACGCCTAAACCACTGAACCGAATTTGATGAAATTTGGCATAGTTTGAGTCCCGGGAAAGGACATAGGATAGTTTTTATCCCAGTTTTTGAAACAGGGACACGCGCGATAAAGTTTTTCTGTGACAGACAAAATTCCACGCGGGCGATGTCGCGGGCGTAAAGCTAGTTTTATAATATTACCTTTTAAATGGTACCATTTTTATTTGTTTTATTAGCCATTTAGTTCTTACGAACGCTTGGAACAAATAAATAGGGTGATTACATACTTTTGCTCCCGATTGTAGAGGCTAACTATGAGGCTTCATGAAAACAGTATACCTAGGTAGCGTCTGGTATCTGTGTGTTTGCTAAAAGGTACATCCATCTTGTATCGATCAATACTCAATACCCCACCCTTTCACGATTGGTTATACAAATTGAAATAGTGCGCCGAGTGTGTGGACACTACCTTCAAATACTTCGTCAAAGCGCCTAAGCGAGTAGTAGCTGAGATGACGGTGCAGTTACGCTATGTGCAAACTTGATCGAATCTGTACCTCTAGCACGAAAAAGTTTCGTCTTCGAATCGTTTGCGTATTCGACCCAGCCTTCGAATCCAAGGATGGAGTGTTGGTCATGGATCGGAAAGGAGGACCGACGACCTCATAAAGGTAGCAGGAAGGCTCTGGATGCAGGCCACCACCAACCGGCCATCGTGGAGGTCATTGGGGGAGGCCTATGTTCAGCAGTGGACGTCCTATGGCTGAAATGATGATGATGATGTTTTGTTCATGCTACCATTTCTCATACTAAATTCACTTTACGTCACGTTCACAAGGGCGCTGTTTAAGTTTTAATTCTAAATCTTTTGATGGCGATTCGAACACGCAAACGATTCCACGTCAAAACTTTTTCGCGCTACAGGTACAGATAGTGTGAACACCCATTTTCAGTTCGTTTCGCCTCGCTCGTGTTCGATCAACTTCGCGCATATTGCAACTGCGACGTACCTATTTGCAGGTCTTACCTGTATAGCTAGGTACACTAGACATGGGGTGAGACGGTCATTAAACAAGCACTTGCGCACTAGAGAGATGCACCGGCGCGAATCTAAATACAGTACTGTGATTGGTCGCAATGAATCTGTAAACGGGATGCGTAGATTGATGTCCAGACGGGAGTGATAAATCAAAATTTCGTCTGACCGTGCACGTGATTAATACGCAAGTTTTACTGTCGGTTTTGAGGCATAAAACATTGATTTTTGATATAGAAATTGTTGTCGAAAGTGTTTCTGTGATCTTCGAGTATAGTTTGCTTAAAACGTATTTAATTTCTGTAGAGAAATAGTTGGATGTTTGAACGAAATATTTCGCCGACATTACGAGAGATTTTAAAATGGCCGTGTACATAAATGTGAAAATTTTAAGATATAAAATATCACATTGCATTAGTATTGGTGATACATATTTAAGTGAAAACAAGTGACAGTCGAAAATAAAATATTAAATTAAAATTAAGTTTCTCGTGAGTGCTCGTACCTTTACGATACTAGACCTTTATCAGGCAGTTTTTCGAAGGGGGCACATGGGAATTTAAACGCCATATTTAGTGCCAACCGCCACCCCGGGGAATAAAGGAGCTGACAAAACATTGTATTAAATTTTTAGTTTGAGTAGAAAGAAGTGAAAACAAATGACAATCAAAAATAAATTGAATTAAAAAGAAGTTTCTCGTGATTGCTCGTACCTTTGCGATACTAGACCGTCATCAGACGGGTGTTCGAAGTGGGCATATGGGAATATAAACGCTATATCTAGTGCCAACCACCACCCCGGTGGTAAGCTCGAAGGGGGAAAATGGGAATAAAGGAGCTGATAACTTTTGAAGAAGAGTATTGTGGTGAAGAGAAGATGGCAGCCGTTTGCGTGGTGAAACCGTTTGCTATGTATGGAAATTGATTATTATATTTATTATGCTTTTGGTACTTTAGCTACTGGCTGGGGGGGCCAAGTCCGATTTTTTAGTCAAATCGTTTGATTTAGCTCCTTCAAAGCGATTTCCAGGGGGGGCTGGAAAAACGTTACTTCGACATTACGTTACTCCGACAATACTGAAAATCGACATGACTTTACTTCGACATACACTACTCAGACAAAGGCGTATATCCTTTGTCGGAGTTCAGTTTTAGAGCCCCAGGGGGGACGCCCATGGATGACATGACAATAATTTTGGGGATGAAAAATATCAATTTAACAGTGTAGTTGTTAGTCTGTAGTAGTTCGTTTTTGATAGAAGTCTAGTAGTTCCAAAGATATAGAAATTTGTAACCCGGCTTATAGTATACATTAATTATATGCTTTGCGATGCGTTCTGCGGTCTGCGATCAGTGCAAAATGAACGCAGCCCGCATGTATGAACTGGCTCTAATAATCTTAATTTGCAGACGCGGCGGTAACAGAGGCCCACCGCCAGCTTGGATGAACGGGCCGCCACCCCCGATGCGGTTCCGCGGCCGCGGCTACGGGCCCGGCGGCCCCCCCATGCGGGGCCGGGGCTTCTTCCGCGGCCGCGGCGGGCCCCGCTTCGGGCCGAACAACGGGCCGAACTACGACAACAACTGGGGGCCGATGGGGCCGCCTCCGCCGGGTATGATGGGCGGCCCCCCTCCGTTTGGACCCCCGCCGGGGATGATGCCGCCGGGGGGGCCGATGGGACCGCCTCCCAATATGATGGGGCAGCCGCCTCCGTTTGGCGGTCCGCCCGGCATGCCTCCGCCTAATATGGTAAGTTTTAACTACGTTTTTGTACTCTAGCGTATAACTGAGTCAGATCCTGAGGTACGGGGGAGTGTTTTGTGACGTCAAACGTCAGGGAGACTTCAGATGTCTTGATTGTCTTAAAATCCAAAAGTAATGAAAACTAAAATTGATAAAAAATTTAAATGTTAAGTCACATCTCAAATAAAAAAAATGTATTTATTGCCTTCGAACCATTAGACACTGGTAGGTACAGGTAGTTAGACTTACAATATGAAGTACACCGAAGGCAATTGGACCTGGCTCAGTCTACGAAAATAAAATAACTTGAAAAATTGAAAATTGAGACATTCCACCAGCTCCTACTAAGTGTTTCGATGACTCTTTTATAATGCGAACAGCTAGGGACTGGAATTCGCTGCCTGCTGCTGTCTTTCCCGAAGACTATAATCCGGCGTTTTCAAGGCGAGAGTGAATAGGCACTTACAGGGCAGATATGTACCATCCTAGACTGCATCTCACTTAACACCAGTTGCGATTGCGGTCAAATACCTGCCTTGTTTTGCATAAAAAAAGACAAGCCAGTAAGTGGAAGGTGTCATGGGTTCAATTCCCATCTTAGGCCCAGAACACACGGTGAAACGCAATTGCAACAAAACTGCAACTTCTAGTTACTTTTGAGTTGCATCTAAGTTTCTGCCATAGATTCCGTTGAGAGACCACACACGACGCGACCATTTCCAACCGGTTTCAAACTGGTCGCGTCATGTGTGGTCTCTCTGGGCCTTAGGCAATTAGATTTTTTTCAAGTTATTTAATCTTGATATGTTCGTTCATAGATTGAATTGTGACTTTAACTTACTTTTGTGTCCCACCAGCCCGCACCAGAAATCTGGGTGGAGACCAAGAGCGAAGACGGCAAGTCTTACTACTACCACTCGCGGACGCGCGAGACCACCTGGACGCGGCCGCAAGAGGGGCCCGCGCTGAAGGTCGTCCCGCAGGCAGAGATGGAGGCTATGGTGCAGGCTGGTAAGTGGCACTTACTGTACAAGTGTAGGCTATGTGACACTTAAGACACTACGACGTTAGACCTGGTCCCAAGAGAGCCCCACTCTGTAGAGCAAGAGCGAAGACGGCAAGTCTTACTACTACCACTCGCGGACGCGCGAGACCACCTGGACGCGGCCGCAAGAGGGGCCCGCGCTGAAGGTCGTCCCGCAGGCAGAGATGGAGGCTATGGTGCAGGCTGGTAAGTGGCACTTACTGTACAAGTGTAGGCTATGTGACACTTAAGACACTCACCGTCTAAATAGTATGTGTACAACGAGGCAAGTGACACTTAAGACACTCTACGTCTCAGTGATACCCGTAGAACGAGCTAAGTGACACTCAAGACACTACGTCTCAGTGCTACTAACTGTAGAACGAGCTAAGTGACACTTAAGACACTACGTCTAAGTAATACTTGTACTACGAGCTAAGTGACACTTAAGACACTCTACGTCTAAGTGGTACCCGCAGAACGATCTAAGTGACACTTACGACACTTTACGTCTAAGTGATACCCGTAGAACGAGCTAAGTGACACTTAAGACACTACGTCTAAGTGATAACTGCAAAACGAGCTAAGTGACACTTAAGACACTCTACGTCTAAGTGATACCCGTAGAACGAGCTAAGTGACACTTAAGACACTACGTCTATGTGATACCAGTTAAGTGACACTTAAGACACTACGTCTAAGTGATACCAGCTAAGTGATACTTAAGACACTACGTCTAAGTGATACCAGCTAAGTGACACTTAAGACACTACGTCTCAGTGATACCCGTAGAACGAGCTAAGTGACACTTAAGACACTACGCCTAAGTGATACCAGCTAAGTGACACTTAAGACACTCTACGTCTAAGTGATACCAGTTGAACGAGCTAAGTGACACTTAAGACACTCTACGTCTAAGTGATACTAAAGACACTGCGTCTAAGTGATACCAGCTAAGTGACACTTAAGACACTACGTCTAAGTGATACCCGCAGAACGAGCTAAGTGACACTTAAGACACTACGTCTAAATGATACCTGTAGAACGANCAAGTGTAGGCTATGTGACACTTAGGCTGCTTTACGTCTTAAGTGACACCCGTAGAATGAGCTATGTGACACGACACTCAACTTCTAAGTGTTTCCTCTGCAACGAGCTAAGTGACACTTAAGACACTCTACTTCTAAGTGACTCCCATAGAACGAGCTAAGTGACACTTAAGACACTACGTTTAAGTGACACTTATACAACGAGCTATGTGACACTTAAGACAATACGTCTAATTGGGACTTGTACAACGAGCTAAGTGACACTTAATACACTCTACGTCTAAGTGATACCCGTAGAACGAGTTAAGTGACACTTAAGACACTACGTCTAAGTGATACCTGTAGAATGAGGTAAGTGACACTTAATACACTACGTCTAAGTGATAACTGCAAAACGAGCTAAGTGACACTTAAGACACTCTACGTCTCAGTGATACCCGTAGAACGAGCTAAGTGACACTTAAGACACTACGACGTTAGACCTCATCTCTAGAGAGCCCCACTCTGTTAGAGTGCAGGCTGGTGAGTGGAACTACACCTTAGGACTAGCTAAGTGATAAAGAGCAGCGTGAGACGTCCACCCAGACGTGAACCGACGACATCATAAAGGTAGCAGGAAGGCGCTGGACGCAGGCCGCTACCAAGCATTGGGGGAGGCCTATGTTCAGCAGTGGACGTCCTATGGCTGAGATGATGATGATGAAGTGATACTTAAGACACTCTACGTTTAAGCGAAGCCTGTACCTGTTCAATGGGCTATGTTACACTTACGTCACTGCGTCGAGTAGATAGTGTGTGTAGATAGCCTTTACCTCAAGAGAGCTCCACTATGGTAAGTGATACTGAATTGTAACTATAGAATGAGCTATGTGACACTTATGCCACTTTACGTCGTTCGAAACCATCTGGATTGGGCCTCGAGAGGCCACACTCGCTTGTGTCCAGGTAATTGTGCATTGACGTTAGCATGAGCTAAATGTCACTTGGCATTTCTATGTCGCGTGAGGCAATGTAGACACTCACAAAAATATTTGATCTTTCTAAATTTTGACGTTTACAAAAAAGACCTAAAACACCTCAAGTTTTTTCCCCAGTAGCCCTAGGATTTTATAGCGGCATTTTATCGATTTAGCGAGATAAGCCTATGGGCTTATTTTATCATCTAAAATCATCGATAAGTTTTTATCAAAACGCGTATCCTAGCCCGGCCGGCAGGTGAACTCAATAGGAACCTAATAATATCTTTGCCCCCAGGTCAAATCCCCGGCGCGCAGATGAACCCCAACCAGATGGCCAACACCAACATGAACATGATGCCGAATGGCGTCATGAACACCAATTTTATGAATCAGCCGCCCCCGTGGATCAAGGAGCAAGGTGAGCTTGACATAATATTAAACTTGATCTTAGGCCCGGTTTCCACCAAGACAGAGCGTAGCGGGGCGAAGAATTGTTTTGAATAACCAATCATATCTGTGAACCAATCAGATTCGTGAATAATGAAATCTGGGTGGTTATTTTACTCCGCTCTGCCAAAAAAAAAAAAAACAAAAATGTCTCCTTACCTTGGTGGAAACCAGGCCTTATCCTTGCAATTCCGGTAGAGTTGAATCATATCAAGTTGAAGCTATTCTTCTAGTAGTTAGAAGCTAGTTAGTAGAATAGGGCCACCATCATTCTTCCCGTGGATGAAGAGTCTGTTAGTGCCGATAGTTTGGTTGGTTTTCTGATATTTATTAATAATTATTATTGACGGGATTGCTACCATGTACCTTAAATGAAGATGAATATCCAAGGTAGATTAATAAATAAATGAATATAGCATTACCATGAACACAGCGTCGAGCATCATTGGCAAAAATACAATGTATTTAACTGCCTAAATAATAATAAAAACACAGAATGTACTTTTTTAAGTTGCCTGAAGACACTGAGAGGTAAATAAGTGGTTAATATTATTCATGATAATTCATAATAATTATTAATCATGTATTTCCTCCGCCATTTTTTTGCAGTTTGGCACCTCACGTCACACATTATTTTACCGAAGTCAGCCCTATAGCTTCGGCGCAGTGCCGTTCACTGACGTTTGTCAACAAAATGGTGCTCGACTCTTGAGACAGGCTAAATTACACCATATTGTTAACGACATTGAGCATACATTTTTTTAAATACCTTCGCGAAGAAAATCTTCTGTACGTAGTACATTATTATTCTGTGGTCAGTGACCGAGAGAAATAAGGATGAAGTTTTTTATTCCTTTATTTCATTGTGTTTTCCCTTGCAGTGGACGCGGCTCTAGCGGCTAAGGAGAAGGAAGCGGCCAGCAGCGTTCTCGCCGCCGAAGCGGACGAAATGCCTCCTGGGGAGGCGGCGCCCGGTACTATGCCGCCCGGTAAGTTGGCTAACGGGATTATTCCCACCTCTCGTTCCCACCGCTGCAACTCCTGTGTAGCCAGGATCTACAGCTTGACCGCCAATAACCCAACCAGTGAAGGTCAAGTTTGTCCCGGGGGAAAGTTAAACTGCCATTGGACCCGCAACGAAATTAATCAGGAGAACATAGGAGTTCGAAGTTAAGGTTCGACTTCCTTCCATTGCAAAACGGATGACAGGTGACAAACAAAGGTTTAATAACCTTTAAGAAAAGATATGCATCATGGACAATAAATATCAATTAAGGGGGCCTATCTTATGAGCAATTAGCTACCTGCCAATAATATTTTTCACAAAATCGGTGTACCGTGTGACCTGTCTGTAAATGTGTCTGTCAGGAGTAGCAATCGGAATCTAAAATGCACGTGCAAAATCAATCTGAAGTTCCGAACTTTCGGATAGGGAATGGAATCTTCGTAACAATCGTCACTAGTTTTGCCCGTAGCTTCTCTTGCGTAAATTCTAGAAAACTTAGATAGAAAGACACGGGTCTTAACGCGACATGTAGTTTGCTTGTGACCACGGCTGCAGCATCGCAGCCGAAACGTCGAGCCGTGAGTACATAATGTAACTCATTAATAAACGTCGCGTTAANAAAAACTTTATCGCGCGCATCCCTGTTTCAAAAACCGGGATAAAAACTATCCTATGTTCTTTCCCGAGACTCAAACTATCTCTATGCCAAATTTCATCAAAATCGGTTGCGAGGTTTAAGCGGGAAAGCGTAACAGACAGACAGACAGACAGACAGACAGACAGACAGAGTTACTTTCGCATTTATAATATTAGTTGGGATATTAGTTGGGATAAACACGCGACATTGGACAAAGTTATACGTGCTCGGCGACCAGACTATACTGCAAATTACATTTTGAAGAGCACAGATATCCGCAACCGTAACCGAAACTTTCGGATATCCGATACTTTTAAATTCAATCCTTGACATCGTCTATATGTTTTTACTTATTCTCTCTCTCCTCCCGCAGGCAGTATGGTGAACTACGCAGCCATGGCAAGCCAGCAGGCCATGGGACAGCCACCCATGGCGGGTCCACCGGCCATGGCAGGACAACCGCCCATGGGACAACCGCCCATGGGAGCGCAAGCTATGCCGGGACAGCAGTACGGCCAGCCCGGCTACCCCGGCTGGCCTGGCTGGGGCGCGTGGCCCCCGCCGCTCGGGCCCCCCGGGTCGTTGGCCCCCGTTGCTCAGACTGCCCCTGGTGAGTGTCCCACGTCTAGTAGTGTCCCCAGGCTAAGACTGGTAGTGTCCCACGCGCACTAACTTCCCAAAGATCCTGCAGGCATCATGGTAGCTTCGGTTTTCTTGCGCTGCTTCTCAGTACTTCCTTCCTTGACATGCCCTTACGAGCATGTCAAAATAAATGCTGAGCAGGCACTATTTTCTGTTCGATTTGTTATTTTTTATAATTTGTGCTTAGTGTGATCAATAAAGTCAATTCTATTCTATTCTTTTATTCTACTTCAGCACAGTGGTACAGTTTAAAATAGGATGTGTAAAATCTCTTCTTAACACTCTAGATGCCACGCGCCTCACCGGTGAACCTCGAACAATAACATTTCTATCGCTTCTAGTGTCGTAATGTCTCGGCAGTCAACGGCTTGAAAGCCAAGTTGCAAAGTATCATGACTTATAATCGTCGTCTCAGCCAAATGACGTCCACTGCTGGACAAAGGCCTCCCCCAAGGTTTTCCACAATGAACGGTCCTGCGCTGCCCGCATCCAGGCTCTTCCCGCGACCTTTACCAGATCGTCGGTCCACCTAGTAGGAGGCCTGCCCACGCTACGTCTTCCAGCCCGTGGTCGCCACTCGAGAACTTTCCTGCCCCAACGGCCATCGTCTCTACGAGCTATGTGCCCCGCCCACTGCCACTTGATTTTAGCAATTCTGCGAGCTATGTCGGTTGCTTTGGTTCTCCTGCGGATCTCCACGTTTCTGATTCGATCACGCAGGGAAACTCCGAGCATAGCCCGCTCCATCGCCCTTTGACTTATAATACTGACTCATATTTCCTGTGTAGGCGCGGCAACACAACTGCCGGCGGGCGGCGGGCTGCCGCCGCAGCTGGGCGTGCCGCCGGAACTAACTGGCGAGGCGCCGCCGCACATGCCGCCGCCGCATAAGGAGGAAGTGGTGAGTTACTTTGTACAGCCTTAGGCGGGTTTTAGGCTTGATTTCCGCCTACGCTGACGTCGGTCGCGTACATCGGTCGAGCGTAATCGTGCGCGCCGCTGACGTCGGTCACCGATGTCAGCGGCGCTCACGATTACACACTAGTTCTATGTAATCATCTGCCGCTGGCGACGGCGTTGCAGTGCGGTGCTTCATAGAACATTGTGTTTATTCGTACGCTCGACCGATGTACGCGACCGACGTCAGCGTAGGAGGAAATCAAGCCAAAAAGGAAATCAAGCCTTAGAATCGCGCTGACCGCTCGCTGATCGTCGGCGCTGACAGATCAATATGTATGTAATTGAAGGGACCGTTTCTGAGTGACGCTGATCTCTCGGCGCCGACGCTTCATACATTTCGGCTGTCAGCGTTGACGGTCAGCGTGCGTCAGCGTGACTTTAAAACCAGCCTTAAGCTTCAACCATACCAACAGCATTAATGAAGCCCCGCTTTCCACTAATGCGGAGCGGAGCAGAGAAATCTTTTGAATAACCAATTAGACTTCATTATTTACACATCTCTCCGCTCCGCTTCGGTGGAAATGGATCGTGCGGAGAAGAGAGAAGTGTCGCGTGGACTCCATTTTTCTATAGAATTTGACAGCGGCGGAGCAGAACTGAGCTTTGCAGAGCGGAGACGAGAAGTGAAAATAATTAAATTTGATTCACACACTTCTCTACTTCGCTTTGCTTTGTTGGAAACCGGGCCTTACTCTACAGTAGCGCTAAGTCTAGACGACACATTAGACAATATTTTTTTCGCAAATCTTTATTGCAGTCCAATGAATACTTAATGGCGGCTTGTGCACGCAGATTTTTTCGCCTTGTGTACTACTCGCGACTCGTGCGATTTTCCGAGCCTCCATAAAGTTTGCATCGGACTGTACTACGGAAATAAGCCACCGTGTTTAGATTTACGTGCTGTTGTCTGTATCAGAGTAAATACAAATTAGTAGGTTATCTACGTATACGTAATAAGTATTGGCGCGCTCATATACAAACCGCGCTCGGTGCGTTTCTATGAAGATAACCTACTCATTTGTTTTTACTCTGTCTGTACTATGTCAATAAAGCCTTGATAATAAATACACACATTACTATTCCAATCCCTGACTATTATAACTATTCTCCCACAGGTAATCCCCACAATCCCCCCGGAACTCATAGCCTTAGCCGGGGAATGGACGACGCACCGCGCGCCGGACGGTCGTCCTTACTACTTCAACAGCGACAAGCAGGAGAGCGTTTGGGAGAAGCCGCAGTGTATGAAGGATCTGGAAGGTAATAAATAAGACTATTAGCAGGATAGCACAATACTAGACATAACTTTTGACCCACACGTAAGTGTAACTCAATACTAGAAATAACTTTCAACCCTAACGAAAGTGTAGCTCAACACTAGAAATCACTTTCGACCTACCCGTAAATTTAGCTGAAACCCCAGAAAAAACTAGCTCAACACTAGAAATAACTTTCGACCCACACGTAAGTGTAACTCAACACAAGAAATAACTTTCAACCCACACGTAAGTGTAACTCAACACTAGAAAGAACTTTCGACCCATACGGAAGTGTAACTTAACACTAGATATAACTTTTGATCCATACGTAAGTGAAGCTAAACATTAGAAAGAAATGACTTTCGACCCACGTAAGTGAAGCTCAACACGAAATAATTTTCGGGCCACACGTAAGTGTAGCTCAACTTTATAAATAACTTTCGACCCACACGTAAGTGTAACTCAACACTAGAAATAACTGTTTGACCCACACGAGAATATAGCAACACAAAAATCTGAAATAAGGCTCGATACAATAATTTTGTTCCTATTTTTTAATTATTTTTGGGTTTGAATTAAACGACTTCTTGTATGGATACAACTGGGGGAAGTGACGACATGCGAAGACAGGATAAAATGGCACTAATTTGGGAAGGTTTATGTCCAACAGTGTACTACATATAGGTTGATAAAGAAGTGTTTCTCTTTTAAAATACTTTAAACAGTAGTCGCCCTGTACCTTTTACGTAATAAAATGAACTATAACAATTTTGTTTTAGAACTTCAAACCAAGATCGCATTGGCCAAGGGTGAGAGACCTCCAAGGAAGAATAAGTTTGACCTCAACATCGATGAAAGTACACTAGAAGGTGAGTTTACTATTATGATTCACTATGATTCGGAAGCCGTGTGGTGACGGCAGAGTAGAATACATTTGTCACCAACCCCTACTCTTCCCGCGGGTGTCGTAAGTAAGAGGCGACTGAGGGACTACACATCAAACAGAACGGGCAGCAGCGCTCTCTGAAAAACATCAATCTTTTAAACTGCGATCTCCAACCCGCCTGCCAAGCGTGGGGATTATGGCAAAACCCTTCACTATAGTGGAGGACGCTCATAGTCCAGCAGTGGACTGTTGATGATGATGATGATGATGATGATTCGGAAAACGGAGCGTGGGACGTCCTACAAGGTGGACGGATGACCTCATAAAGGTAGCAGGAAGGCGCTGGATGCAGGCCGCTACCAACCGTTCGTTCGTTTCAGCCGAAAGACGTCCACTGCTGGACAAAGGCAAGGATTTCCACAAAGACCGGTCCTACGTAGTGATGTACAAGACTCGAGGCGTCGAGTCCTATTTTTGAAGCCTCGAGGCGGAATGGCAAGACTCAGTGAGCTCGGTTAGGCTCGGTGCCCCGAGCTCTCTGGGCCATGCCTGAGGCTTTAAAAGAGCTCGAGCCTTCTAAAGAGCTCGTACCTTCAGAAGAGCTCAAACCTTCAAAAAAACTCAAACCTTCGAAAAAAATAAAAAAACATCACTTACATTGATTTTTATTATAATTTAAGATTCTTAAAATGTACTTATATTTTATTTTGAAAATGAAAATGAAAAAAGGTTCGAGCTCTGCGAAAGAGTCCAAGCTTCATACAAATGAGGCGAGCTCCGAAAAAGGCTCGAACTCTAAAAAAGACTTCCGAGTCGTCGAGCTTCATACAGACGAGGCGAGCCCTGTAAACGACTGAGCTCTCGGCAAAAGGACTTGGAAGCCTCGAGCCTTGTACATCACTAGTCCTGCGCCGCTCGCATACAGGCACCTCCCGCGACCTTCACCAGATCGTCGGTCCACCTAGTGGGAGGCCTGTCTACGCTACGTCTTCCTACGCTACCAACCGTGCGATGTAGAAATCATTGGGGGAGGCCCATGTTCAGCAGTGGACGTCCTGTGGCTGAAATGATGATGATTATGCAACCCCACTCTTCCCGTGGATGTCGTAAGAGGCGACTAACGCCCGTATTCACAAACGATACTTGCTTAAGTGAAGCAGGAAATCGAACGCACAGCGTTGAATAGAGCTCTGTGGTTCACCTTGTGCGTCCACACGCACTGTGAGACCTCATAGTAATGTTTGTGAATACGGGCGTAACGGACAAACATGCGAACATCAGGCCTCCCCAACCCGTCTGGCCAGCGTGGGGAGTGTAGGACGAATCCTCCATTTGTCTCTGGTTAATTAGAGGGTCAGGCTCCTGCACTGGAGACTCAATGAACTGATGATGATGATTACTAGAGTGTTGTCGTTTAGACAAGCAATGCTGAGCGAATATAGTAGTAGTGCAGTGGCTTGATAAGCTGCCTTAACGGGAGTATTCCCACCTCTCGTTCCCACCACTGCAACTCCTGTGTAGCCAGGATCTACAGCTTGGCCGCCATAACCAACCAGTGAAGGTCAAGTTTGTCCCGGGGGAAAGTTAAACTGTCATTGGACTTGCAACTAAATTAATCAAAAGAAAATAGCAGGAGTTCGAAATTAAGGTTCCTTAAGCGCATGTTTCTGGGCTCGATTCCTGGCTGAGTGTTATTCTTTTTTATTTTTGCTGTGCTAGGGAATTATTTTGTACTAGCGGCCGTCCGCGACTTGTACGCGTGGATCCTGTTTTACCCCCTTAGGGGTGGAGTTTCGTTAAATCCTTTCTTAACGGATGCCTACGTCATAACATCTACCTGCATGACAAGTTTCAGCCCGATCCGTCCAGTGGTTTGGGCTGTGCGCTGATAGATTACTATGTCAGTCAGTCATCTTTGAGTTATGTATATTTAGATTGTGCAACCATTTCTCATCACCTCATAATCTGCAATCATGCAAAGCGAAGTGATTACAATAATGATGATTGTAAAAACAGTCCACAGAAAGTGGCATTGGACAGATCGTCGTTGTCGTTCTAACACTGCCTGAAGACTGCAGACTTTTAGTCGGCCGAAAGTTAAGCCAGCTGCTAATTTGTATGAGGCTTATAGCTCGTAGAGCTGATGGCCGCTGGGGCAGGAAAGTTATTGAGTGACGACCACGAGCCGGAAGACGTAGCGTGAGCTCCCACTAGGTGGACCGACGATCTGGTGAAGGTCGCGGATGGTGCCTGGATGTGAGCGGCGCAGGACCGGTCTTCGTGAAACTCCTTGGGGGAGGCCTTTGTCCAGCAGTGGTCGTCTTTCGGCTAAACAAACGAACGAACGAATTGGCCGATATTAAATCTGTGTAATGTGCGTACTAATGAGGGTTTTCGCTAATGAAAAATCCGCCAGATGGCAATACGTAGACGCGAGGTCAAAATGCTGCATGATTGGTTATTTTTGACATGACATTGACAGATATGTCAAAATCCACCAATCACGCAGCAGTCAGACCCCACATGCACGTCCCGCCATCTAGCGGATCTTTCATTCGCGAAAACCATCATTAAAAGCCGGAATAAATTATCGGCCGACAAAAAGGTTGTAGTCTTCCGAGTGTCTTATACAATCGAACCGACAATGCCAGCCTGTTTGTGTTGCAACCCTACAAGAAAAGCATCGCCATCTCTTCAAACTCCCAACTAACCCTAACAAGCGCTAAGCGAAAGTAACAACCCTTCTAACTCACCACAACTAGCGATTCCGCCGCCAGTGATCGACGTGGATGCCCACGACGAAGCGGTGGCCGAAGCGGAGCGGAAAGCGGCAGCGGAGCGCGAGCGAGCGGAGAAGGAGAAAGCGGAGAGGGAGCAAGCGGAGCGCGAGCGAGCGGAGAAGGAGAAAGCGGAGAAAGAAAAAGCGGAGAAAGAGAAAGCTGATAAAGAAAAAGCGAAGCAAGATAAGAGTCGGCCGATATCCAGTACGCCTATCTCCGGCACGCCTTGGTAAGTGTTTGTATACTTATTAGTGTGAATCGTTTGGAAGCATTTCAATCGAAAGGTTAAGCTTTTTGAATTAACATTAACATCATCATGCTAACAGTTTTGCTGGACATAGGTTTTGACGGCGTCAAATTCATTCGTGACGCTCAGTGACCAAAAAGTTCACAACACGTCTTTATTACAATGAGGGTTTTCGCGATTGAAATTCCGCCAGATGGCAATACGTAGACGCGAGGTCCAAATGCTGCGTGATTGGTGGATTTTGACACATCTGTCAATGTCACGTCAAAAATAACCAATCATGCAGCATTTGGACCTCGCGTCTACGTATTGCCATCTGGCGGATTTTTCATTCGCGAAAGGAATAATACTAATAATTTATTTGCCATAAATAGGTGGTTACAGAATAGTTAATAGGAATGCTCTGCCAGCAGGGTCCCACCTAGTTGTAGGGGGAACATACACAACATATTACAGTCGGAAAATCTTTGCGGTAGGTACCTCGGATTGTAGTTTAGTTGGACAGTGGTCATTTGACGGCCACTTGAATCGTCTCACCCCTAAGTTTTTGGCTACCGCCGGCGCACTAAGCCGGTTGATGCCTAATCTCGGAGGCCCGGCCGCACTGAGTCGCTGACTATACTTTTGCGTCGCGCGTTGGTCCTATATGGGGCTCGAGTATGGCACAGTGCTGTGTAGTCGTGGAGCATCCTACTGTTGAAAAAAGCGCAACGCATGATATTTATTTATTTATTTATTTATTTATATGGCATACCAACAACATATATATTATACTCTTATGATTAACATTTATGAACATAACATTTCTGATATATATGTCACTTAAGGGTAAGCACAACATTCAGACGGAGATTTAAAACTAATACAAAAGCGACTCGCTAAACCAAAAAAAAAAAACTAATAATAACAAGAAAAAAAGCGTGCCCTACATCGCAGAACTTAAGTGCTTATGCAATTTATCTTTATCAATATATGATATCACTGAGGCACAGGCTGAGGTAATTCGTGGATACCGCATAGTATCCTCAGTCCGTCTATTCCCGGTTGTGGACACTGACTATGTCCCTACTGAGGATAAATGGGAAAAAAATTATTGTCATTAGTGGCGACGTACCTAACAATCCTACTTCCTATCCTACTAATATTATAACTATAACTAATATTATAAATGCGAAAGTTTGGATGTCTGGATGTTTGTTACTCTTTCACTCAAAAACTACTGAACGGGTTTTGTTGAAACTTTACAGTATTATTGCTTATAATCCAGATTAACATATAGGCTATAATTTATGACAAATAAATTTCAATAAATAAATAAGACGTGTCTAAAAAGCGCAATCTATCGTCATTGGTTAAAATNACGCTAAAGTGGAAATTTACAAAACCTGTGTGGACTTATCTTGATAGAATTCTAAAATGCTAAACTAATCGCAATATTTTCTCAATTAACTATTTAGACGACGAAATTGCCTAACTATTTATGCCTATAACATATTTGTAGTATTACTGGTTAATGATTGTAACGAGTTGAAAAAGTACTGTTTTTGCGCCAAACGGCGTAAACGCTCTTAAGTCGAAATGGAACGCGAAAGTTTAAAATTTTAAATTCGAGACAACATTGACTAATTTAATGTTCTCTCTCTCTCTCCCGCAGGCAGTATGGTGAACTACGCAGCCATGGCAAGCCAGCAGGCCATGGGACAGCCACCCATGGCAGGCCCACCGGCCATGGCAGGACAACCGCCCATGGGACAACCGCCCATGGGGGCGCAAGCTATGCCGGGACAGCAGTACGGCCAGCCCGGCTACCCCGGCTGGCCTGGATGGGGCGCCTGGCCCCCGCCGCTCGGGCCCCCCGGGTCGTTGGCCCCCGCCGCTCAGACCGCCCCTGGTGAGTATCACACACCAACAGAGACAATCATGTCTTCAGGCAACATGGCGAGCAGTGGTCCACGTCCACTAGCTCTCCATAAGTTTTCAAAGTGGAATATAAGTATTCCAAGATTTCTAGCTTCCAGCAGATGCCCCAGCAGTTATAGGAGCAGCTGTTTGATACTAAAATTATGCGGTAATCTACAGTCAGCCGGTGCTCCGGGGTGAAACTCTCACAGACGCAATTTTTTCAAGTCTCAGGAGGGTAGACAAATAGAACTCACTTTATTGTACACCACAAAGACAAGAAAAAGAAAGGAATATACAAAAGATACGGCACAATTTAGTCGGCATTATCATTTTAAGGCGATCTCTTTCAGACAACCTAGAGAACAGTTGTTTATAGGTATGAAGGGAAGCTATAGTCTGGTCTGCGAGCACGTACAATTTTGTCCAATGAATTGTTCCATTGGACAAAATTCTACGTGCTCACGGACCGGGCTTTAGTGAACTGATATATTGACAGTGCCATATGTTACAAGTAGCTGGGCCAGAATGGTTACGTACAGCAAAGGACAGAAACAAATGGAAATCCTTAGAGGAGGCCTTTGTCGAAAGACAAGCTGTTAAGAGGAGAGATAAGCCGAATGCCGAAAATACTATTTTAGTTTAAATGAATTTTTTCTTACCTCTAGTTATAATTTGTAATATTATGTATAGTGAAATAAGTTAAAAAAATTAACAGCAATAAAGGCTTATTTTATTTTATTTATTTTTATTTATTATGTTACAGGCGCGGCAACGCAATTGCCGGCGGGCGGCGGTCTGCCGCCGCAGCTGGGCGTGCCGCCGGAATTAACCGGCGAGGCGCCGCCGCACATGCCGCCGCCGCATAAGGAGGAAGTGGTGAGTGACTTGTACTAATTTAGGTCGTATTTCAAGGAAGTATACGAGAGGTATTGTATTTGCGCACACCCTTGAAGCCACGATAACCGAACGGTGATGGGGTCGGACTGGCCGACTCGTGATCCGGGGAACGCGGGTTCGGTCCTCGCCGCCGCTCGACTATTGTGGTGAGCTCAAGATACAAGCATATTATTTAGCTTAATACGAGGGACTAACGGGAGTATTAGTAATTAGTGTAATAACAAATTACTAATATATTTAAAAAAAAAACTTAAGAACCCTTAATCATCCCTTTTTGTTTTAATATAACTTGATCAATATCTCGGACAATATTGTATTGACAATCGATGCAATTTAAAGATTATGCATTAGGGTGTGTTGACAAGTCAGCTTCTATCCGGTCCTACGTCGGACCAGTACTGGCCTTAGTATCGAGCTGGATTGAACAGAAACCGGCTTCTCAACACACGCCCTTACTATTCCATTCCCTCCACAGGTGATCCCTACAATCCCCCCGGAACTAATAGCCTTAGCCGGGGAATGGACGACGCACCGCGCGCCGGACGGCCGTCCCTACTACTTCAACAGCGACAAGCAAGAGAGTGTGTGGGAGAAGCCGCAGTGCATGAAGGATCTGGAAGGTAAGGCCATTCCCACCTCTCGTTCCCACCGCTGCAACTCCTGTGTAGCCAGGATCTACAGCTTGAAACGGGACGATTCCCACTTCTCGTAAATGGGACTATTCTCACCTATCGTAAACGGGACTATTCCCACCTCTCGTAAACGGGACTATTCCCACATCTCGTAAACTGGACTATTTCCTTTCCATCGCTGTAAATCCTGCGTAGCCAGGATCTTCAGCTTGAAACGGGACTATTACCACCTCTCGTAAACGGGACTATTCCCTCTAATCGTAAACTGGACTATTGCCACCTCTCGTAAACGGGACTATTCCCACTCGTCGTAAACGGGACCATTACCACTTCTAGCAAACGAGTATTCCCACCTCTGTGTAGCCAGGATCTACAGCTCGACCGCCAATAAAAACCCTTAATACTTTAACAGTAATAAAGACTATAAACTTATATGATTATGACTATTCCCACTTCTCGTAAACGGGACTATTACCACCTCTCGTAAACGGTACTATTCCCACCGCAACTCCTGTGTAGCCAGGATCTGCAGCTTGACCGCCAAAACCCAAACAGTGAAGGTCAAGTTTTCCCAGAAAATTAAACTGTCATTGGACCCGTAAAATTAATCAGAAGAACATAGGAGTTCGAAGTTAAGATTCGATTTCCCTCCAGTGTAAACCGGATGACAGGTGACATAACAAAGGTTGAGTAACCTGTGACATCTGGAAGGTAACTGGCAGAGAATGCCCAATAGCATTAAGTTCGCCCTATGTACTAACTAGCTTTCCGCCCGCGGCTTCGCCCGCGTGGAATTTTGTCTGTCACAGAAAAACTTTAACACGCGCGTTCCCGTTTCAAAAACCGGGATAAAAACTATCCTATGTCCTTTCCCGGGACTCGAACTATCTCTATGCCAAAGGATAGTGCCAGGGTCTGGACCAAGTGCTGCCCAGAATCAACCCATAATGCATTTTGTTCCTCAGACCAATACTAATGTGTAAACCGAAGCGCACTGCAATCTATCCCTGGAGTTAAGAGAAAAAAAGAGTTTTGTTTTGAAATATTTTCATACAAAATATCATCGATGTATACGTACTACGCATAAGATTTCGTGATTTTGGCATTAAATAACACTCGCTATGTTGAACTTAACCATACTGCATCCGTACACGTTACTTTAGTGCGACTTAGACATTCTTTATAAGCCATCTAGCGCTGTTGCAATAGTTTGGTTACTTGACAGAAATCATTATTTCCAAAATGAATCAAGAAGTTTTAGTTCTCTATCCTTGCGAAAAATCAATTTATTGGTGTATTACAATCGATTATTGAAGTTATTGTAAGCTAAAACTTCTTGCTCTATTTTGGAAATAATTAATTTCGGTCAACTAACCAATCTACTGCAACAGCGTTTGATCGCTTATAAATAATGTCGAAGTCGTACTAAAGTAAGGTGTACGGATGCAGTATGGTTAAGTTCAACATAGCGAGTGTTATTTAATGCCAAAATCGCGAAATCTTATGCGTAGTAGGTAAACATCGATGATATTTTGTATGTAAATAATTCCAAACAAAACTCTTTTTTTCTCTTAACTCCAGGGATAGATTGCAGTGCGCTCCGGTTTACAAATTAGTATTGGCCTGAGGAACAAAATGCACTATAGTTTCATTCTGGGCAGCACTTGGTCCAACTTCCATACATGGATTGGCACTGTCCTTTCACCAAAATCGCTTCAGTGGTTTAGGTGTGAAAACGTGACAGAGACAGAGTTACTTTCGCATTTATAATATTAGTCTAGATTTTGTGGCATTAAAGTAAATATGCACTGAAATTAATTAAAATAATATTGTTTTAGAACTTCAAACCAAGATCGCCTTGGCCAAGGGTGAGAGACCTCCAAGGAAGAATAAGTTTGACCTCAACATCGATGAAAGTACACTAGAAGGTGAGTTTACTATTATAATTCACTATGATTCGGAAGCCGTGTGATGACGGCAGAGTAGAATACATTTGTCACCAACCCCTACTCTTCCCGCGGGTGTCGTGAGAGGCGACTTAGGGACTACACCAGTGGTTCCCGAATGGTGGTCCGCGGAACCCTGGGGTTCCGTGGAAAGGCCGCAAGGGTTCCGTAAAAAATATTATCCCGCGTTTCGTGACCGACGTTGTTCGCTCGCACCGACTTGTTTACGCACAAGGGAGGGGCAGGGCGTGCGGGCGGAGTAGTACGGGGGTTCCGCTAGGAAAAGTATAATCAATTAGGGTTCCTTGGCAAAAAAAAATTGGGAAACCCTGGACTACACATCAAACAGAGAACGGGCAGAAGCGCTCTCTGAAAAACATCAATCTTTCAAACTGCGATCTCCAACCCGCCTGCCAAGCGTCGGGATTATGGCAAAACCCTTCATTATAGTGGAGGACGCTCATAGTCCAGCAGTGGACTGTTGATGATGATGATGATGATGATTCGGAAAACGGAGCGTGGGACGTCCCACAAGGTGGACCGATGACCTCATAAAGGTAGCAGCAAGGCGCTGGATGCAGGCCGCTACCAACCGTTCGTTCGTTTCAGCCGAAAGACGTCCACTGCTGGACAAAGGCCTCCCCAAGGATTTCCACAAAGACCGCTCGCATCCAGGCACCTCCCGCGACCTTCACCAGACCGTCGGTCCACCTAGTGGGAGGCCTGCCTACGCTACTAACCGTGCGATGTGGAAGTCATTGGGGGAGGCCTATGTTCAGCAGTGGACGTCCTGTAGCTGAAATGATGATGATTCTGGAAGAATGCAAACCCACTCTTCCCGGATGTCGTAAGAGGCGACTAACGGCCCGTATTCACAAACGATACTTGCTTAAGTGAAGCAGCAAATCGAACGCACAGCGTTGAATAGAGCTCTGTGGTGGGTTCGTGTGTCTTGTGTGTCCACGCGCACTGTGAGACCTCATAGTAATGTTTCTGAATACGGATGTAAGGGACAAACATGCGAACATCAGGCCTCCCCAACCCGTCTGGCCAGCGTGGGGAGTGTAGGACAAATCCTCCATTTGCCTCTGGTCAATTAGAGGGTCAGGCTCCTGCACTGGAGACTCAATGAACTGATGATGATGATTACTAGATGTGTTGTCAATGCTGAGCGAATATAGTAGCGCAGTGGCTTGATAAGCCGCCTTAATGGGACTATTCCCACCTCTCGTTCCCACCTTGCAACTCCTGTGTAGCCAGGATTTACAGCTTGACCGCCAGTAACCCAACCAATGAAGGTCAAGTTTGTCCCGGGGGAAAGTTAAACTGTCATTGGACCTGCAACGAAATTAATCAGAAGAACTTCGGAGGAGTTCGAATTTCGAAATTAAGGTTCCTTAAGGATGTTTCTGGGCTCAATTCCTTAATAGTTCAGTTATGTTTTTTATTTTTGCTGTGCTAAGGAATTATTATTTTGTACTAGCGGCCGTCCGCGACTTGTACGCGTGGATCCTGTTTTACCCCCTTAGGGGTGGAGTTTCGTTAAATCCTTTCTTAGCGGATGCCTACGTCATAACATCTACCTGCATGCCTAATTTCAGCCCGATCCGTCCAGTGGTTTGGGCTGTGCGTTGATAGATCACTATGTCAGTCCAGTCATCTTTGAGTTATGTATATTTAGATTGTGCAACCATTTCTCATCACCTCATAATCTGCAATCATGCAAAGCGAAGTGATTATTATAATGATGATTATAAAACAGTCCGCAGAAAGTGGCATTGGACAGATCGTCGTTGTCGTTCTAACACTGCACCGATAAACTGCAAGTTTTCAGAGCTCAAAAGAAATGCATCAGAGCTATAAAATCCTTGAAGTGGAGGGACAGCTGCAAACCACACTTCAAGGAATTAAAAATACTAACTGTACCCTCGCTCTACATTTACGAGACTGCGGTCTTTGTCAAGAGAAATCTACATCTGTTTCCCACTCTATCCAGTAGACGTCTTATGCACACTTTAAGCGCACCAACTTGTCAAACCGCGTTAAAAAGGAAAAGCTTTTACTGTATGGCTCCTAAAGTTTATAATAAATTGCCAAAAAAGTTAAGAGACGCCAGCTTGAACACTTTTCGCAAAGAACTATTTACCCTTTTAATAAGAAAATCATATTATACATTAACTGAATATTTGACTGATACTAATTTGTAATATAATTTTGACATGATAGTTTTGTAAGCATTAAATTTAAATTCTAAAAATTGACATTGAATTATTATGTTATGTAACTATTAATTTTTTTGTATCTTTATATGGGACTTATAATTTGTATGCCACTCATAGGCCAAACATAGAGCTCTACCCATTATTATGTACCACCTGATTTATACATTTACCTATGTTTTACAAATAAATNTTTTTGTTTGTATCTTTATATGGGACTAATAATTTGTATGCCACTCATAGGCCAAACATAGAGCTCTACCCATTATTATGTACCACCTGAATTCTACATTTACCTATGTTTTACAAATAAATGATTTGATTTGAAGACTGCAGACTTTTAGTCGGCCGAAAGTTAAGCCAGCTGCTAATTTGTATGAGGCTTATAGCTCATAGAGCTGATGGCCGCTGGGGCAGGAAAGTTCTTGAGTGACGACCACGAGCCGGAAGACGTAGCGTGAGCTCCCACTAGGTGGACCGACGATCTGGTGAAGGTCGCGGATGGTGCCTGGATGTGAGCGGCGCAGGACCGGTCTTCGTGAAACTCCTTGGGGGAGGCCTTTGTCCAGCAGTGGTCGTCTTTCGGCTAAACAAACGAACGAACGAATTGGCCGATATTAAATCTGTGTAATGTGCGTACTAATGAGGGTTTTCGCTAATGAAAAATCCGCCAGATGGCAATACGTAGACGCGAGGTCAAAATGCTGCATGATTGGTTATTTTTGACATGACATTGACAGATATGTCAAAATCCACCAATCACGCAGCAGTCAGACCCCACATGCACGTCCCGCCATCTAGCGGATCTTTCATTCGCGAAAACCATCATTAAAAGCCGGAATAAATTATCGGCCGACAAAAAGGTTGTAGTCTTCCGAGTGTCTTATACAATCGAACCGACAGTGCCAGCCTGTTTGTGTTGCAACCCTACAAGAAAAGCAGCGCCATCTCTTCAAACTCCCAACTAACCCTAACAAGCGCTAAGCGAAAGTAACAACCCTTCTAACTCACCACAACTAGCGATTCCGCCGCCAGTGATCGATGTGGATGCCCACGACGAAGCGGTGGCCGAAGCGGAGCGGAAAGCGGCAGCGGAGCGCGAGCGAGCGGAGAAGGAGAAAGCGGAGAGGGAGCAAGCGGAGCGCGAGCGAGCGGAGAAGGAGAAAGCGGAGAAAGAAAAAGCGGAGAAAGAGAAAGCTGATAAAGAAAAAGCGAAGCAAGATAAGAGTCGGCCGATATCCAGTACGCCTATCTCCGGCACGCCTTGGTAAGTGTTTGTATACTTATTAGTGTGAATCGTTTGGAAGCATTTCAATCGAAAGGTTAAGCTTTTTGAATTAACATTAACATCATCATGCTAACAGTTTTGCTGGACATAGGTTTTGACGGCGTCAAATTCATTCGTGACGCTCAGTGACCAAAAAGTTCACAACACGTCTTTATTACAATGAGGGTTTTCGCGATTGAAATTCCGCCAGATGGCAATACGTAGACGCGAGGTCCAAATGCTGCGTGATTGGTGGATTTTGACACATCTGTCAATGTCACGTCAAAAATAACCAATCATGCAGCATTTGGACCTCGCGTCTACGTATTGCCATCTGGCGGATTTTTCATTCGCGAAAACCCTCATTGGAATAAGGTTGTGTTGTCAATTTTTTGGCCACAGGTGTTGCGAATTAATTGACCCTGACTGTAATAATTTAAATTCTAACATTTTAAACCTCCAGTTTTTTGTTTGAGTCAGTTAATGTCAAGTTTTCGATCATAGTGATTTTATTGCAATTTTGTTCAGTAATTGACATGCGTTTATTTGTACAGAGTCGCAAACGCGTGTTGAGTTACTTTAACAATAAGATGAAAATGTATATAAGTCCGCACCAATACACTCTGACAGTTTTTCAAAAGGTAAGTAGACAATTACGTCAAATATCGGCGACATTAAACAGATTCAACTCTTTTTTGTCCTATAAGTAACGAGTATTTCGCTTCCCATATTTTTTTATAATTAAGTCACTAAAGAGAAAGGTTTGTAGTTCAGAACAAAGCTAAAAATCAATCAAAATCAAGCATAGATTGACTGAATTCTATATTTAGACTAATTATAGCATTACCTGTGACAGTGTGAGAGATTGAATCGATTCGCTGTCTTCTAACTTCAGTATCGATGTTTGAGGTTTTGTTTCCCAGTCGACGAAGCACATGATGTCGTGCCCTGCGTGCCCAAACAACTGCACGTAGGAAGAATTAATGAAGGCTACTGACAACGCTACTCTTGTGGCGGAGTTTTGGGCTGACGCTGTGTAGGTTTGTTGTCGACACGACAAGAAGTATCGATTTTATCTTTGCGAAATTGCCAGGGTCTATTGTCGCGGACTACTATAGTTCCAAAATACTGGACTGTCCTATCGATGACATTGACAGTAGGGCGCCACCGTCAATACCGGATCGCTGGTTCCGATTTTTGCCATGTTGGAAACCATATAGTTGAACGATGGTAGCGCCCCCCTGTCATTGAGTTTGGTGGAACAGTTCAGCGTGGGTCATCTATAAATGACATTTCGCACTCAATGTCAAATGACAGCTGTCAAAACTGACTCAAACTCAAAACGAAAGGTCTAACTGGGATTTGGTGATTGTACTAACACTGGGGTTACCACAAAAGATCATGCATTCAGGACAGTTCAAATCGGCGTGTATGGGATTGTGTGAACGTGTGAGAGCGCGTGTCTGTTGTACGTTGAGGGTAGTGTATGTGGGCCGTAGGGCGAAACGGAAAGCCGCGGTGGAGAGGGAACGGGAGAGAGAGGAAGCGGAGAAGGAGAAAGCGGAGAAGGAGATAGCGGAGAAGGAGAAAGCGGAGAAGGAGAAAGCGGAGAGGAGAGCCAGGATGGACAAGACGAGACCAGTGGCGAGCATGCCCATAACTGGGACTGCGTGGTAAGTTGCAATCTTCGTGGGTAGTCACTGGTGCCTGATAAACTGGGAGATAGTTTATAGGTAGCTGATTGGTGATAAAGCCCGGTCTGTGAGCCCGTAGAATTTTGTCCAATGACCCCTAGCTACCCATCCTTATCGCTCGCGCGTAATTATGTTGCTGTCGCGCTCGCACACTCACTGCGGGCGCCCGTCGCACAGTCGCGACAGCAACATAATTACGCGCGAGCGATAAGGATGGGTAGCTTGGAGTCATTGGACAAAATTCTACGTGCTCACAGACCGGGCTTTAGCTGATTGGTGTTAGTTGGCGGATTTTTTCTGCAGGGTTGTTATTAAAACGGCTGCCTAATTTTCAGGATGGTTCCCCTCATGATTAAAGACATTTTTTACTATAGCCCGTTCCCTATATTTAATCCTTGTCCAGATCCAGATTTAAACTGTCAAATTAATAAATAAATAAATAATAATAAATATAAATATTTATTTTCATAAAAAGCTAGGTACAATACAAGGCAACAGTAGTTATTGCACTAGGCTCGCAGACCTGTGTCGCAAAAACTATAAGTGGGTTTACAATTTTTGAAATATTATTTTAAGTACTGTAGCTCCGGTTCATACTAATGAATTTAGAATAAGAGCGACTTTGAGACAAAATAAAAAGGTAAGGAAATTGTATTCATTTTTTAAATTAAATATCCACAATTTTCGATTTACATTGTAATATTGTATAAGTAGTCATTTTAATGATATGAAAAAGTAAAACATCGAAAACCGCAGATATTTTGACCAAAAACATTGAAATTTGACAGTTGACGGACGGATTTGGATTAGGATAGAATATAGAAAACCAGCATGTGATCAATGGTGAAATTGAGATGAGAAAGTTGCTATAAATTCTGTTACGGTGATTTTTTCTCGCCGTATGTAATCATTGATCCTATAGATAAGACTTATCACCATGAGAACTTTTCCCGAAAATTAAATTATTAATATTTGGCAAAACTCAGTTATATCCGTAATTTCAAAAATTATCCTTGTGCAAGTTGTAGTTTATGTGTCAGATAAGTTGCTAATAGTTTATCAGGCACTGATGATGATACCCCAGTCTATTAAATGCATGCGTCTGACCAGGCACTGTGCGTTCTAGCGGTGCTAGTTGGAGATTGCAGACCGCTGATCGCAGGTGTCATAGGACAATCGGTCTGCAGTGTGACCGCAGTGCTAGACAGACAAATACGCTCTGTGTACGGTTAAATAAAATAATACAAGTTCGAAACAGCACTATTTATAAATCAGAAAATGTATTGGCTAGAACACATAGATTGATTATGACTTCTCGATGATTTTTTTAAAGTGTACCACAAAAACGCAAGATTTGAATTTGCCGACATTTTGCCACTAATTTGATGGCAAAACCCGGAAAAAATAATAATTTGACAACTGGGACTTGGGGTTACTAAAATAGAGCATTTTTAATGTGGCTAAGTCATTTTGCAGATTAAAATTATCTGATCATTCTAGAATTGAGAATGTTACTAGGTATGCAAAATCACTTGAAACCTATGTTACAGTTAGGCTTTTACATTTACAAATACATTAGTTTTTATTTCATTCAAAAATACCCAGTAGTTATGATTTTATAGGCATTCAAAGTTCGCTTAAATATTGAGTCCCGCCGACGGTCACGTGACCCCGCGTGACGTACATTCACAGTGTCTGCTCACTAGAAAACGGATATAAACATACTTAAATACATTTTTTTTGTAAATACAAACTTATTATACATATTAACACCCAGACCCATCACAGAAATTAAAATTGAACCAAACCCAAACTTGATGCGATTGTGTCGTTTTATTGCGAATTACCTTCCAGCTCCATCATTAGACCCTGATTACTATAAGGAATTAAAGTACTCATCAGTACAAAACGAACGAGCCCAAACTCGATGGACTTAAGTCGTTTTATTATAGAGTTCCTATGGCCACCTTCCAGCTCCATCATCAGATCAGCTCCATGTCATCATAATATTGCATGGTCATCCAAATCACATGTGTTTGCGAAATTTCAGCTTAATCGGTTGCCTGGAAGTGGGTCTTAATTCAGCTTGCAAGATTCCACCCATACAAATATCAGCCAGTCACTGTAATATGACGTCACGCGCATAAAATGGCGGGCCAGCCGCTGCCCGCACTTTTAAAATTCAATATCTTGGAAACTAATTGACGTATCGAAATAATTCTTTCACGTGTATTTTTTATTTTTAACAGAGAATACAGAAAGCTAAAAAACAAAATTAGTGAACATTCTTCATTAATTAATTGTCTCATTTTGCCTGTGGTAGCGGTCTGCGGTCCTTCAAGTCGCACTCAATCACCGCCACACTTTATGTCGCCAGTCGCTGTATTTCGTCTATACGAATAGGGATGTGCGGTGTTGTGACGTATCAAAAAGTGAATAATGACGTTTCTTCATTCCTTTCTTTTTTAATCTTTTCTGCTTGGCCAATTGTTAAGGCAGAGAATGCCTTATGGGATAAATAAATAAATACATTGCAATTTAATTTTAAACATCTTTTGGGTCCAAATCGGCGTTGGTACACTGATAAATACTTCTATCCCGTTTATTTTTAATCAAATGTCACTTATTGTCGATGATACTGAATAAACATTTTTAATACTTTCTTTCTTTCTTTCTAAAACGTGTAAAAAGACGTAACAAGTTTTTGTTAGCGTCATGTTATTGAAATTGATGATGTTACATTCCATTAAGAAATCGTTAATCGAAAAGAAATTAAAAGTTCTTTGACATTTGGTGTAGTTGTAATACAAGGAATTCCCTTTCGACCTAGATATCAATTTGGTTTATTCTCTTTGTCCCATGAAAATAATAATTTTATATTTTCTTCCTCGGATAATGCGTTATTCGGATACATCACAAGATATCGCACATCACTAGCGACTGGCTACCTCAAGTGTGGTACACAAGCTACACTGCTTCGGGACGAGAATGTGGGCCGCTGGCCAGTACAAGCTTAGTAGATTGGCCGAAGTATATGAATGTTTAGGACATACAGGGTGTCTGAAGAAAGAATTTGTGGAGGGGTGATGGAGAAGAGATTGTAGAATACAGGAAAAGTTTGGCACAGAGATGTATGTTCAGCAAAAACTATTACTTATTTACTTATTTATTAAGCAGTTATAAAATTTTAAACCTTACTGTCTTAATAATAAATCTTTTGCACTCGCCGAAGAAGCAATTCGAGGCTCATTCAGTTGAATGTAAGTCTAGGAAGGCGTACTTTATTTGCATTTTATGATAATATAA